GGCCCCCGCCTCCCACCTGGGAGGCTGCACCTCCAGCTCCCACCACCGCCGCCGGGACTGCAGCACACCCTCCTCCCTCGGGGCTGCGCCCGGTAATCGCAAACCGAGTCTCTGCTGCCCCCTGCCGGCCCGAGGGTCCCCTGCTGCTGTAGGTGTGCTCACGTGTGTACACGTAGGTGAGCACACACGTGTTTCCGGCGCCCCGAGCCCTGGAGACGCCTGAGAGTCTCCCCTTGCGTGGCTAGGAAATCTGGGCTGTATGCCCACCGGAAGCCTGGCCCCGAGGCCTGAGAGAGAATAGCATTAAGTGGAGGCCCTCCTGACCCTCAGTTTCCCCTCTGGCGAAGGAGAGGGGTGGACCATGTAATCTATGAGATCCCTGCTACTTGATTAAGTTCGGTCATTTTAAGATCTCAGAGCTGTTAGGGCCCCTTCAGCCACTGCAGTCCAATGGGCTCATTCCAAATAAGGAAACTGAGGCTGGGCAAGGAGAGGGAGTACTTCTGCAACTTACTACACAGAGAAACGCCTTTCCCCAAGGAACTCGTGTCCAGTATTGACTCAGAGGCCTGCACAGATAGCCATAACCCAGAAGGCTAGTAAAGGCTGAACAAATTACTGGGAAGCAAAGTAGGACTGAGACTCGAGAAAGAATAGTATAGGACTCGCTGGGAATATCAGAGGTGCCCCTCAGGTGTACAAGTCCAAGGCCTTGCTTCAGGGAGAAGGGTTTGTCCTGTAGAAGAGGAAGCTGAAAGGAGGTCAGGCCTCTTGAGATGAAAAACACTACTTTTTTTGTGCCTGACACTGTGCTAAACCCTTTCCATTCATCATCTCACTTAATCCTCAGGACAGCCTGGTTCAATAGACGATTTGATCCCCACTGGACAAAGGAGGAAATCGAAGCTAAGAGAGCTTAAAAGCCTTGCTCCAGATTCCATGGTTAACAGGGACTCCTGTGCAGGGCTTCAAAGCTGTTGCTCCTAGCTACTGCCAGGCTGAGGCATGTGGCCTGATGGGCAAGCGATGAAGGTTTCTAAGAGGCCTGGACAGGGGCAGTGGCCACAGCAAAAGGATCAGAGAAAGAAGGAGGGGTCAATCAGGAAGCACACCCCCCCCCCCTCAAAAAAAAAGAGATATTTATTGAGGATCAGGTAGTATCTTAGGTGATTTCATGGATGATATTTTCATTAATCCTCACTCCAACCCTTCTAAGTAGTTCTATTTATCCCTATTGATTTAGGTGTGGCTTGGAGCTTAGACAAGTAATATCCTTGCCGGAGGTCTCAGAGTTCCTGAATGGCAGCAGCCAGTATCCTTACTTGTTGCTTAGTGTTCCCTTTACGACTCTACAGGAGTCTAAGGTGTGACAGTTAACTCTGAGGGGGCATCTCCAATCAGCCAGCTGATACCCACTCTGCTCCCCTCCCCACAAGACTTGACACAATAGAATACCATCTGTATTCTATTCAGAGGAAGCCCAACATGCTTCCTGGGTCTAAGGATAACCCATGTCCTACTACATAGCCCAAGAATGCTCTGGTAGAGTGAGTAAAGATGTCCACATCTCAATCCCCAGAACCTGACATAGCAAAAGGAACGTGATGAAATTAAGGGGGTTGAGGTGGGGAGAGTTACCCTGGATTATCTGGGTGGGCCCAATATAATCACAAGGGCCCTTACAAGTGGGAGACAGAAGGGTCAGAGTAAGAGGTGATGTGACAATGGCAGTAGGAGTCAGAGCAATGCATCCAGGAACCAAGGAATGGGGGCAGCTCCTAGAAGTTGGGAAAGATAAGGAACAGATTATCTTATCCCCTAGATATTCCAGAAGGAACACAGCCCAAGGACAGAACGTTTTCTTCTCATTATTATGTCCTCACCCAACACCTAGCGTGCGGTCTGGTAAGTAAGCATTTAATAAATGCTTGCTGAATGAATGCAAGGTCTCATTTCAATGTGCTAATGGCTCAGTGGGGTAGGGCTTGTTGTTGCCTTTTAGAGATGGGGAAAGTGAAGATTGGAGTGGAGCCAGCACTCAAACCCTGTCTCCCGATGCCAGATCCCGTGTGCTCTGAACAGTATCACGTCATCAGGAATCACCTGGGGGTGCCAGATTGCTTTAGTTTTACCTGTACCTCCTCTGTGTCAGACACTGTCACCTAATTGATATCATTTAGTCCTCATCACCATGTTGATTTAAGCACTCTTTTCTCCACCACACTGAGGAGAAACAGAGGGTCAGGCCTTCCTTTTTAAAAAAAATGTTTTTATTGATTTTAGAGAGAGAGGAAAAGAGAAGGTGAGAGAGAGACATTGATAAGAGAGAGAAACACGGATCCTCCTGCATGCTCCCTACTGGGATCAAGCCCAAAACCCAGGCCTGTGCCCTGACCCAGAAGCGAACTGGTGACTTCTCGGTGCAAGGGACAACACTCAACTGAGTCACACAGGCCAGGCTCAGGCCTTCCTTTGATTAAATTTCATGTCACCCAGATTCAATCTCAGAATTTCAGATTTGATGAGCAAGTTCGCATGTTGTCTGCTCACAGTGTTATGTACTTTCATCTTTGCCTTTTTGACCTAAAAGTCCCTAACCCTGTTACCTGAGCTCTATAACCAGCCCTCCAAATTTTTGATTTGCCAGTTCTCAGACCTCCCTGCTCAGTATCAGTGGGCCAGGAGTTCACACATACCTGTCAATACATCACTCTTTTGTGCGCCTTTTGGTCCACAAACTGTAATTCAGAATCCCCAGTATTTCACCTGTGTTTTTGTCTTGAACCATCCTGGGCCGAAGTTCTCAAGAAACGGTCTACATTAAATGCCAGGTCTTTTCCTTGGTCAGAAATACGAGCTTGACTTCCTCAACTTCACAAACAATAGTTGGAATTATATCCTTAAAGTCACCTCTTGCCTTCTCTTCGGCTACCACTTCTTTCCCCACCTCCTCAGGTTCCTGGGAACTTTCCACCATGCCTCCCATCACAACTCCAGCGCTTTGTGTCATCAGAAAACCTTGGGGAGAGTTCCTTATGCACTCCTTCCTCCAGAGTAATGTAGTTTTACATGTTAATTAAACAGCCCCTTGCTGTCTCTAAGGAACTCCTTTCAGAAATGTGCCATTTACCCGAACCTTTGTTTCCTGGCTCATTTCCTAGACTCAATAAAAGTGTGCCTCATTCTGACTCCTTTTCTTTTCCCTTAGAACAACATTACACTTTAATGTATGTTCCTGTTTACTCCCCTGTGAATTGTTCTTCCCAGAAACATTTATTGAGACCTTACTATGTGCCACAAAGCCTTTCCTACACTTCCAATAAACATAAGCTTCTGGGAGCAGGCAAAAATGGGTGAAGGGGATCAATTGTACGGTGATGGATGATAATTAGACTTACAGTGATGATCATTATGTGGTGTATATAAATATCTATACTAATAAAAGGGTAATATGCTAATTAGACCGGATCGACTGGACATCTTCCAGACATCCGACTTCCTTCCAGACAAAGCCATGGTGGTGGGGGCCGAGGCAGAGGCGGTTAGGTGCAATCAGACTGGCGTGGGGGAGCAAGCAGTTAGGGGGCAATCAGGCCGGCAGGAAAGGGCAGTTGGGAGCTATCAGACAGGTAAGGGAGGGCAGTTGAGGGTGATCAGGCTGGCAGGGGAGGACAGTAAGGCAGCGATCAGGACTGCTGGGGAGGGCAGTTAGGTGGCGATTAGGCCGGCAGGCAGAGGCGGTTAGGGGCAATCAGGCAGGCAGGCAGAGGCAGTTAGGAGCCACCAGCAGTGGGACTTCCCCCGAGGAGTCCCAGTTTGGAGAGGGTGCAGGCCAGGCTGAGGGACACCCCCCCCACACACACATGAATTTCGTGCACTGGACCTCTAGTTGAATTATAATGTACACCTAAAGTATATACAATGTTGTATACCAATTTTACCACAATAGGAAAAACATGTTGATTGAACCTTTCTGCTATTGTTTCACAATAACTATTACTAGTTAGAGACTGTGTAGAGCTGTCTGCCAGCCTAGCATCCACTTTCCCTTCTTTGGGTTACAGAGTTTGGGTTACTATGCAGAACTACTTCACCACCACTCAGAAGCCTAGTGGTTGCCCTGGCTGGTGGGGCTCAGTTGGTTGAGCATCATCCCATGCACCAGGAAATTGCTAGTTCAATCCCAGTCAAGGGCACATGCCCGTGTTTCGGGCTCAATCCTGGGTAGGGGGCATGCAGGAGGTAGCTGATCCATGTTTCTCTCTTATCAATGTTTCTCTCTCTCCCTCTCCCTTGCTGTCGCTCTAAAAGTCAATAAACTATTCTTTAAAAAGAAAGAGAAAGAAAAAAAGAACCCTAATGCTCTAGGTCAGTGATGGTGAACCTATGACACGCGTGTCAGAGGTGACACACGAACTCATTTTTTTGGTTGATTTTTCTTTGTTAAATGGCATTTAAATATATCAAATAAATATCAGAAATATAAGTCTTTGTTTTACTATGGTTGCAAATATCAAAAAATTTCTATATGTGTCACGGCACCAGAGTTAAGTTAGGGTTTTTCAAAATGCTGACACGCCGAGCTCAAAAGGTTCGCCATCACTGCTCTAGGGGAAGCTGTCCACCAGTGTTTCAGGTGCGGCACATGATCAGGCTTGGTTAATCAGAGCCTTGCATTTCCCAGATACCGGTTGCTGGCTCAAGAATGGGCAATACCTCATGTCAGGCCAATGCAACTCTTGCAGAAACTATTGGGAACCAACAGTATTAAGCCTGGAGCTCCTTGCTGCGGGCCTACCTTGACACAACCTGGAGAAAGTCCTAGGATGACAGCAACACACAGAGAAGCAGAGGCAAGCCTTAGACATAACTTTCTGATGACAATTTCATTTTGACTACGTGGATCCAGCCGTGCCTGAAGCTACTCCCTGGAATTTACAATTTAAGGAGTGAATCAGTTTAGAATGGAGATTTTCCAGGTCTCTTTACTGAGCACAGAGCATAAGCATTGTTTTGAATAGGAACTCATTTTTTTTCATGATTTAAAGGATTTATTTTCAAGTAAATAATTAGCAAAGCAATGCTCATCACCAAATTGTACAGAAATAAATGGAGAGCTAATAAGTCATCTAAATTTGTAGATTCAGAAGTGGCAATAAGAGGACATTTTGGTGACTACAACTGAGTCCCGAATTCAAATTTTTAGCCAATCTTTCCCCCCTGCTCCAGGTCATATTTCTGACTTCCTCCTCTGCACCTACCCTCTAGATCTCCGTTCCAAACATTTACTCTCCAACCCTCCGCCTCGACTCAAGAGGTCAATATCTGGAAACAGGAGTGTCCCCCACTTTCCTGATGCCAGCCCTGGCATGGGTTTCCTACCTGAGGACTCATTTCTTCCCTGAAGGATGTGCATTCGCTTTGGAGAAACACATGTGAGTCTGATGCGATTGCCCGCCTAACATTTATACTGGAGATGCGCACAGAGAGTGGAAGGGGACATTTTTATAGGGCCTGCCCCCTGCTGCCTCCCTGCCTCCTCTCTGATGCCACCCCCTCTCCCAGCCATTCCTGGGGAGCTTTTCTGTCTCTTACTCTCTCTGAGCCAACTGCTGACCTTTTATTCTTTTCTATCCACTGGTCTACAGTCAGTGCTGTCCAATGGAACTTTCTGGAATGATTGGAAACATTCTATATCTGGGCTACCTAATATGGCAGCCACTAGCCACAGGTGACTATTGAGCACTTTAGTGCAACTATAAAGGACCAAATATTTAATTTTAGTTATTTAAATATCTGCCTACATTTAGAGATCACTATTGGACAACACAGGACTAGACATCACCCCCATTACCTATAGCTGGCTTCATGTCCCTAGTCCTTGCCCCACACCTATTGGGCAGGACTAGTTCCTTTTGCTCTGTCCCCAAACTGCCGACATTCACTTTCCCATGTCTGGCCAAGTCACAAGGTATGACAGCTCTGATCCTATTTGCCATCAAATCGAAAACCCGTCTTCTGCCAAGTTGGTCAAAACCAAGGTAAGCTGTTCTTTCGGGTAAAGCCCTTCGCGGCTGCGCTGCTGCTGGTGGTGGAATGTGCTTTTGAAAACCTGCCATAACTCAGAGCGGAAGCACATTCCAAGGTGAGGGTCCCGTGAATCACCTGGGTTAACATTGCAAAGCCAAGGTGCACAGACCCAGACACACCTCTTTCCCTGATGTAGACTTTAAGTCCTAGTTCTAGCCCAGGAAAGTGAGAAGAAAGAGAAGGCAGTGGGTAGAGTCAGATGCTTGCCATGAAGGTTTTGAAAGAAGGTGGTCTGGGAGGGGCCTCAAGAGTGGGCTCGCTGGGGAGGAGCTAGTGGCCGTGGAGATCTTAAAGAGAGCACAGTGACTACATGGGGTTAAGAGAAAATGCAGGCAGGGAAATGGAGATGGTAGATCCGGACCACTTACCCTGAAAGCTTAGCATCAAAGGGAGGCAGTGAGTTATCAAAGAAAGAGCATGGGGCTTCTGCTGAATTCTAGTCTGAGACTTACTCTTCTCATCTGTAAAATGGGTGAGTACTATAACCTCAAAGCTGTGCTATGATAGTGATATGACATAACAGGTAATTGATACAAACAAACAAACAAACAAACAAAAGGAGCAAAGCTTTATAAACTGCAAAATCCTGTAAAAGTATAAGGCTGGAAGAAGGATGGGACCGGGCAGGAGCTAGAAGGGCAAGGGGACCAAGCAAAGGTTTGAGGGACATGGTTCTTATTTTAATATTGGGGGGGTGGGTAATCCAAATGCAGAGGGGAAACAAAGGAAGAAGCCTGTGGAGAGGGATGAGGGGGGCATCAGGGAGCAACCAGAGAGAGTATCTGGGTGGGGGAAGGAGTAAATGGCGTTTTCTGAAGCTGGAGGGAAGGCTGGACAGAGAGCAGCGGGGTGGAGCTGAGAACGGACAAACGCTTCTCAGAGGCACCTGCTTCTCATTCCCAGGGAACAATAGAAAGGATAACACTGCGCGACGCTGTGCGGAGGTTGCTGGTTTATGAAGCGCCGCCACAGACATGACCACATGTAATTACCCTGCCTGACAGCCCTGCTGGGAGGCGGCGCAGCCCGGGTCACAGCTGAGAAAACCGGAGCTCGCAGGAGTTGTGGGACTTGCCCCAGGTGACATGGCTGGCAAGCAGCAGCGCAGGCCAGGATGGGAACCCGCGCATCGCAGCTCCCTGGCTGGGCCTCCTCCCCTCCCTCTGCACCCTCTGCACACTGAAACCCGGCCCTTCCCTGCAGCCACGCCAGCTCCCACCCGCCTGACTCACTGGGAGGGGCCCTTGTTCTTCTTTTCTCCCCAGAGCCAGTTTCTGACCTTCCAGACTCCACCCTCTCTTTCATCCCTTCGTCTCCCTCTCCCCTGGCCCCTGTCTCCCTTTTGATTACGCTGTTAGAAATAAAGGCAGGGGTTTTAATGATATTAAGATGGGAGCCACTGGAGACCTGCTCTGCCCTGACACCCCCCCTTCCCCGT